TCACTCGCCGTCAGGTTTGACCCAAACCATCGTTCTCCAGTGATGGTCTTTGCATAAGGAGCCTTAATTCTTTGATGTTAAGGAATGGAAAAGCACAAACCTGAAAAGTATTGTTTACTTATTGTGTTGCAAAAAATAACTCACTTTTGCTAGAATTGTGACATCATGTTGTTTTCGGGGATTGTAATGTTCTGGTTGAACGCTACATCTGACGAGGTAGTACAGCTGCTCTACCGTTTTGACCACTTCTTGATAGGCAATTTCTGCCAGTGTTTCTTTTCAACTGAGTTTTTGCTCAACGAGACCCTTTCCCGTGGCACCTCTTATACCATGTCCAAGCCTTCTTTAACGTGATTTTTTCAAATTTAGTCAGATTGTTTTGGTCAGTAAAAATCTAAGTACGTATGAAAGTTCTTTGCTTCCCCTGAAGAATAACGTCAACCGTCACAGTAATTTGGGAAGTTCGAAAACGGAGAACGCTAATGCTTTCGTAATCAGTTCTCTAAGAGATTGAATAACCAAATAATCACGTTTCCAGACTCTTTGTATCCAAAATCTAGTCAAAAACGTTTTACAGAGTGAGGTTTAAGCATAGTGCATAAATTACAGTAAAGCCCGATAACATAATTTGAGAACCATTGAAAAGAAAGGAAAAGGATTACTTAAAACGCAGAATAAAAAGTTATTGATGGTATTTGTGATTTTACAAAAGTCACTCAATACAATACAAAAAAATTGGATATGCTTAACACTAAATTGGGAACAACGCTGTTATTAAAAGTTCTGACAAGTGGCTGCGGGTGGTGGATGAGTGCTGATTTGAAATTGGGAGCATGTACTGAAATCGGCGATAGCTTCAGGGATTTCAACACGCCGGTATGCCACGCACTGTATACCTTCCGAATCCATCGTAATTATAGCTCGAGCAATATATATGCTTGATGAGTCATCTGTTTAAATCATTTGAGGAAGACGTATGGGATTTTTATAGTTGTATCACGCCATTGCGACTGCGGTAGACCCGATAGGTAAACAAACCTTCATTGACAAGGGTCGCTTGGGAAAAGATAAAGAGAAGTGATCGATTTCCAACCTCCCAGTGTGTATTTAAGATGTCTTGTCATTTTTCTTTTAGTAACCGTACATTTCAGTGTAACTAAGATGGAACGATTTGCACATGGTTTAAATGTTTTATTCCAGCTTGTGGACGTTCTTGATGGAGCTCTGGAGAGAAATTTCGAGATAAAATCTGATATATATTTAAAAGCTTATTTTCATGATTTATTCTGAAAACTGTAGACTTGAGACATCCTAAGAACTTGACTGTACACCAGCGCGCAGTTGACTCTGACTCAGCCAACCTCTGTGCTCTCGTGACTTTTGATTGAAGTTGTGGCACACACCATCATTGAAAATATCCAAACTACGACTTTAACATTATTTAGTTCGAATATATTTCACCACAAATTTTCAAGGCTTTGAACGGGGAGCAAGATTTTAAGGGTAAACATCCTTTATCTTTTGTCAGTCGTGAGAGAAAATGATTAGAATAGCGAAAAACATAATAAAAAGGTCAATTATTTTGTACTCAGTATATGACAAACGTTTTGGTTTATTCGTGCACCAGAAACATTGATTGGGAACAATTGATGCACTTATATCGCTCTTTTTGAGGAAATAATTTTAAGACTACAATTAGAAAACCAACCGTTTGTCTGTTGTTGATTAGTGATCTTCACTTCAATGTTGAATATAAAGCTAAACATGGAACAATTAAGCAGCACTGTTTACGAATTTGTATTTATAAGGAAAGACGCGAACTGCGAAGCGGGGTCTTCTGTTTTAAAACGAACGGAAAACCTACTGGTGTGTATATGATCCCGTTCAGTTCACAAAGTCCATTTTCTTTCTAATTTTGTTTCTGTATCAGTTCTTCATAGGAGAATAACTTCATTTATCCTCTTACGAAGAGATTTCCTTTCTTATTGTATTTTTATTGTAACCCTCATAAATTTAGGGGTCCCGTCAGTAACCAAAATTGTAAAAATTTTGAACGCACATAATCTCCAATTTATGAAGATCACTGGCTTTCTTTTCAATTCATCGATTGTCTAGTTAATTGTGTTTAAGTAAAGTTTATGCGCCCAAGTTTGTGCTGACAAATAGACAACACAAACACATTCGTCAGTTGCCCACAATTGCCTGCATTGCAGAGCGTGGATTTACTGTTAGCACATTATCCTTTTCCCCTAAATCACGAAACTTTACATTCATTTTGAGCCCATCCATCATTCAGTAAACTATTTATTTGTCGAGTCAAATAAACCTTACGTCACTCACATGATAAGTGCATGAAATGTTTATACTTCCGGAATAATTAGAATAGATCAAGTCATTACCACAAAGGAAGAAAAAAGGAGAATTTAGCATTATGCTTCAAATTAATAGTAAAAATGTTTCATCTAATTCTATCCCCCTGTCAGCTTTTTGCCAGAAGCCTATCCGCTGTGAGTGAGGAAACAGGTCTGAGGCAGCGGTTGTATTTTGTATTTTCTAGCTCATATTAACGTACGTGCTTCCTAAGGAGTATTCACCCGTGAAAAGAATAAAGAAACAGTCAGATTCCAATTTTTTCCCACTTTATTAAATTTCACGTTTTCAATAACGAATAAAAGGTGATACGAAATGGAAAGGAACGTCATAGGTGGAATTAGTAACTCACGATTATTTTGAAATATTTATTTTAATAAAAGTGCGAGGTATACAGTCTTAATCTCGAAGTTTGATTCTCTTGCGGTTCCTATATGGTGAATGTTTTAGAGGATAACTACACATCAGAAATATTTAAATTTACGGTATATTATTTGCAGTTGCCATTGTCCGCTTGAGATCGTCAGTGTGTAATAAGGACTGTACGGTTCGATTTCTAAACCGAAAGTCTAAACTGCAGCTACGTGTGTATTTGTCGTATGAGGGTAATGTATAGCAGTTTCATCTTTATTCCAGTATGATCAAATATTCGAACAGAACAGAACTAGGACTGCCCCAAATGGATGGCATATCTATCCAGAGAACTAGTTAAAACAAAAGTGGAAAACTTATGAACAGTGAAATTCGTCAATAAATCAATTNTTGACAAGTTAATAAAATTACAACAACCAAAGTATATAACCCACGAGTGTAAGTCTTTAAGTATGAATCATATTCATTCTTGAAGTTTTGCGGAATTCCGAAAACAAACACTCTCAATTTTTGTTGAGCGACAGCGCTAGTTAGAATATAAACACACTGCGTTGGAGAAGTTTTGTAATTGACTATACTGCCAGTGCGCAGTGGTAAGATCCATCAAATAGTCGAGCGTATCTAGGTTGATGCGGTCAACTGACGGCATGATGAAACGCATATATATATTTTCTGGCTCACAGTGTTTCGATATGCGAATAAAGAAATAGCTTAATGAGCTAATTAGCTAAGGCAATATCTGTTTATGCGAACAATTCGGACCAGTGAACCGCCATACCAAAAACATTGAACATGCTAAACAAGGATCAAACATTGAAAAAAGTCACCGAAACTGAAGAATAAAATCTTGAAACAGTCGACTCCAAACCAAATGCTTTTCATCATTTTATCAAAGTTGCATTCTATTAGCATTTAGCGCCTAGACGTGCCGTAGTCAGGTACGGCTAACCACTTTCATGTTTACGTTTGTGTTTAAATGAAATATCAATAGTAAATATTGCGAATAATCATGAATCCAGGTACGAAAACAACGAACTACTTGAGCTCCTACATTTCGAAATCTAGTGTTTCCCATAATACATGTAGGTCATTCTCCTCCTCAAAACTGCGTAGTCCTTGTGGAATCGAAACTAAAACTGCACTCTTAAACCAGATAGTGCACTGTAGTGACAAAGATAAAAACATTGAACTTCCTTTGTGGTGAAAAATATGCAAATTAGTGAAAATGATGTACGTGAATATGAAGAAATCAAATAAAAGCAGGTGGGTTCCCTTCAGGCAATATTTCGTTTTACGAATTATCATGGTTAAAATAAACTAGCACAGGTTTTAGAATTTGTGAAAATTCATCAAAACAACCTCATTTGATCACCACAGTGCTAGTAAAATAAGTATTCTGATCATGCTACATGAAATGTTCCTTAAAAAGTTAAAATTTAAATTTACCGGTAAAGTCAAATAAAAGGGTATTGTGGGAGATATATATTTGTTAGAACTCAAATTGAACGGTTGAACATTTTTCTGTATTTATTATTTATATGAAATTGTGAATATGTTTATTTACCGTTGGATTGTGATTGTTATGAAACTGTCAGGTTAACGTTCAGAACACTTGTAAAACAAAACAAGTGTTTAGGTCACCAACTAGTGACCTGGGTGTCCCGGGTGCAAAACGTTCCACCGCCGTCCGTCTTCCCTATATCTGTATTTTCTCCAGGCAACATTTGCATGGCCGCAGCCTCCTTCCAGAAAGTTGGCTTTACATTTGTATGTTCAATAAATGGAACAAGGAAGTAAAGAATTACTGGATTCAGATGAACTACACCTACCTATTTGTTATTCACATCGAAATAAACAATCCAAACGCTTTCTGGAACATCGGAAGTTTGAAATCTGAGTAAAACCCCACAAAATCAAGACATTGAAACAATACAAGAGGCTTGCAAATTGGAAAAAGCAGTACTCGAAAATGAATTTTTGGTCCAAGGTTTAGAGCCGAGGACTGTTGCTAATTTTACCGCAAATTTTAAGCATTACTGTGCTCTCTGCTGCGGTGGTGTTATTCTACGATGAGTGACCTGCAACAACCGACTGTGTGGATCTTGTCGAGCATTCTCTTTTCTTAATTTTGGTGGCAATTCGTTCGTTTGCGAGTTATGGTTTTTTCGCAGACCAGATATGATTGACCTATATGTAACTAATTTCATCGTCATATCTATCAGAGTCCGTGCAGAAGAATGTTTTCAAATCGCGCGGTCATGTCTAAAAATTTAGATACGATATGGGATTCACCCGGTAAGCATTAATTTGAGTGGTGTTTTTTACAGCGTGTTTGCGAAGCAGTGGTTTGTAAAAAGTAGCCAAATTATCGGCTGTTGTACTATTTGTGTAGATTTGGTTCGGAATGAAAATTTTGCCAGTAGGATATTTTTTAAACGAATGGGATTGGTCCAAAGGACAAGAGAGCAGCATTTTTTATCGTTGTTGTCCACCTATAACCAGGTGCTTGTCACTGCTTCCGTTTTTTGGACATACTCAGCAAGTAAAATAATCTATCGAGAAATTATGAATGATGAAAACATCACTTTATATGTATTTATTTTATAAAAAATGTTTTCAATGCGTATGCATGTTTTTGTGAGTTTGTGAAATCCTTTACTATAACATGAAGCACGACAGTGCATAGTTAACAATTATTCAAACTGAACCATACTGAACTCAATCAAAACTCAGGGTCACAAGAACCAGCTAAACACGGCCATATAGCTGAAGTTGATTGATCGTATAAGACAGTACGTAAAAGAAATAGTTATTTAACCTACTAATTATGAATGAACAATGGAAATCCGAGTAATGTTTTAATTGATTGAATAAAACCAACCTGTGCTAATGACTGACAGATTTTTTGCGATACATAAATGAACGGTTTATCCAATGAAGTAAAATATTCCTATAGTTAGCGTAGTTAACGTAGCAAATCGATACTTGTTTTCCTCCGAAGTATATTGTTAATGTCCGCTCGAAGTGTTCTTGTCCCGGATTAAGCGATCACTCTTGTTTATTTTTCACTAGCTCTCGCGAAATCCCCTTCTCTGCAAATCCGCGCTAATCCTAATTTTCAAAGAGTGGATCAAGCGGATTATGATAAACGTGCTCTGCGTGGAGCAATAGAACCACACTTCCTTATGCCCGTCAGACGAGTGATGGATCAGATCAGACCATTACACGTTGAAGTGTTACAAAAGCAGCTTTACCCGCGAAACGCTTCATTTTTAAGTACGTTGGCGATGGCTGTGGGGGAGGTCTTTCAAGTCTCAGAAAACGCCATAAGGATACCATATGTCGTTGACCGCGTGCGAAGCAATCGTAGGTGATAGAGTACCAATACACATTGGGATGCAACCCTGAAACATAAGAACACGTTTAGAACTAGGTAATCTCCCAAAATCTTGATGAATCCATGACTGAAATAGGATAGCAAGCATAAAGATAGTTACGGCTAAAGACCTTTCCTTCTCATTTCACACTTAGATATTCAAGTTAAAAATACTGGATTAGTTAGTTACAAATAACAGACGTTTTTATTTATTGTATGATATCAATGTCTTTGAGAATTATTGAGAGGTACTTTGGTTGTTGATTGTCATGCCAACCTATGTGAAAGTTCCAAGTCCAATCAACCCCCTTAAACAATGATGGCGTACTGAATGGTTCGCTGCAGTGCGAGCAGCTGTCACAAGGTGTGTTCATCCACCGTTAGTGGCTCATTGAAGAACTGCTGTACTTGGTCGCGAGTAAAGAAAACTTACCGTTTTTAAATTTATCTACCAGGTGAATCCCATATTGATCACCAGTTGAAAGGTAATATCGGAGAGTAGTTTATCGCGCAATTTATTACTGATTATAAATGTAGACTTTTCTCATACGCAATCAAAAGTATTCACGCGGGACACTGAAAGCATTTTTGTTTCCCAAAATGAACTTTATGACTGGTATAGATTGAATATAAAATTTTCTGATGGCCTTTCCCACATAACTCGCTAATCGCTTGAATGTTCTTGAACAAAATTAATGCAAACCGCAACACGATGCTACATGAAGAACAAAGCTAACAGACTAAACCCATTACGATAAATTTTGTGATCAGTTAGATCAAATAAAAATGCAGCTCATTCAGGGTGGAAGGTGCAACAGTCTAAATTTTCAAAAACTACCATTCAAGTGACAAACATTTTTTGAATGTTTTGGGTTAATCGATTTCCGAACATTTTCAATCTTTTGGTGACCTTTGTGCAACATAACACCTACAAAGATACACGCCTAAACCAAGTGACCTTGTTTATCCAGATTTCTGTTTTTTCCTTTCTGAATGAATAGAACAGACCATATTGGTACAGGTAAAAAATGTAATACAAGAGTTCTCCTGTCCTCATAGCACTACCATGCCATATGATAATACCAGGCGGAGGTTGATTAAATTACGTATCGCGAGGTTCGATGAGTTATTCTACTTGATCCTCGCTGGTTATGCAAATTTTTTCACACAATAACCTACACATTGTTAGTGCTGTTTTGTAAATCTCCCGAAGTACACTGTGTTGGTGATCCAATTTTACTTTTTTTGTCGTTGTATGACGCCTAGTCCTCTAGTGAACAGGAAGTTTGAAAAATATATTCATGGACAACACCTTCGTTTCGGTGTCATTGTAGTTTACTGCATGGTTGACTATGCTCGTTAATACGACAATAAACAATTTTCAATGCAAAAAATCATTTTACAAAAGACCGAGCGCTAATAGGGTTTTACTGATTCACTACTTTATTGGAATTTTCTATTTGAATCGCGATCATGTTTTCGAACAAAGGCTGATACATATGTAAATCGATTTCTCCAGAGCTGTAAAACATGCGCAACGTTTTTCCATGGTATGATAATTCGTCTGCTCTGCGCAAGTTTTGTCCAAAATAAAGGATACGCGAATGAAAGCGACACATTCTGTTGTTGAACAGTTTATGAACGTGTGTCCTACATGAAACATTAAGCTGACTTTTCGCGCATTTTATATTGAGTTTTGTCAACCGATCAATAAATTAATGACCGAAATGAAAAATACTCTTTTGCCACAGAGTAAGAGTCAATACGATGACTTCAAGAACTGACGTCTGCTTCTCCTAATCATAAATAATGAAAACAGAGTGAACGTTACAAGGTGTAATTTTTCATGTTTGTCGTCCTCTTGATTGAGAGCGTAAAACCTCTGGCTCATTTATTATATAAAATAACAATAAACATCGCCAGTCCAAAGGATGCCCAGAGCCAGTAGGATAACAAGGTAAAATAGTTTTTTTCGTGCAACGGATAATCGGCTGTGATTTACACGTTTTCACACAAGATTAACCGGATTCGATTACCATCACATTGTAGGACTTGGTGGGAGTTCACTTAATTGTAGGTTACCAAGATGGCTTTGATGAAGTGATAAAAGTTTATGCAGTTTAAAAATGCTTTCCACACTGCCCATAAGAAGTTATATGTTATCCAGGCAAATTTAATTGTGTTTTCTAAACCATAATTTAATAAGATGGTCTAATTTACCGGATACAAATCGAATCCTAAAACATAAATACACTTTCGTGATTCAAGTCTTTATCTTCCAGGATACAGTTGCTTAAAAAACAGATTGAGAGTTCACGTAATTACGAATATCTATTTCCACCAACTAACGCTTTAACGTAATTCGCAAAGTACTTTTTCAGTTTTAGTTTATTATAAAAACGGAGTCAAATCGAGTAACGGATTTACTGAAATGTACTTATTCTTATATTGATAAAGGGTAAAATAGACACCACTTGCGGTTCCTTTTCATCACTAAGTATTTGTTTTGCATTCAACCTGTCACGTTGTTTATTATGTTGCAATAATGGTGGTCTACAATAGGTGGTTCCTTCTTTGCTTTTAAACTCAAAATTGACAAGCTTGCATTTATATCAACAAAACTATGACCTCATCCAACATGATGTTCATACAGTCCGTTTGCTGAAATTAAGTCTGGAGAACGGTTTGATCATATCTTATAAGGAAGAAGAGTTTTGTCATGGAAGAATTTCAAGATTTCAAGATACAATAAATGGTCTACCATCAAACATCCATCAAACATTTGTTGAAATGAGGATCAGTATTTATTTTTATCCAGCATATATTTCGCATAAATGGAAAGTCAGCTTTGATGTTTGATCATCAATGTTTCGATCATACGTCCTTAATAACACTCATCATATTCTAAACACAAACACTGTAATTGGATGAAATGAATGATTATGGGATCATTGTATAGAAATGTTATACAACAACAAAAATAAAGAGCTATACTATGCACGAGCAGTATGCAGTTTCAATTCACATGCTAAGTGATGCAGAATATGATATCGGTATGTGGTAACGCCACACAATATTCTTGACACTGTTTTTTGCGGTTGATTGGAAGGGATGCCGGGTAGGAGTAAAGTGCATTCAACTTGTTTTCTGAGAGCATTCACACTGATTCTGGATCGGTGCAACTTGATTTTCCGTTCGGTCAATCCATCACAGTTATGTACCGGTATCGTTGCTTGAATAAAATGCAATACTGGACCAAACATTCGCAAGATTGACGATATCTCTATGTCACAAATGGAATACCTAAGGAACTGTCAAATTTAGAAGACGGTGATACATTTGTTAATAACATAACATAAAGAAATGAAATGAGAAGTCGAAGGGTGTGGAATGAAAGTTGAAAGGTTTGAAGGTCACTGGTTTTTTATTTTGAACTAACTGATAGAATATATTTCCATGACAATGACCTTCAAAATTTACTGGATATCAAGTTAGAAATGTTAATATTCACATTATATTTGGAAGTTTGGTAATGATTGAATGGAGAATGGCGCCTTGATGGGGTAGGTTAAACTGGATGAGCCGCAAGTCCATGCGGTGAAAATATTTATCGTGGATCAACTTATGACAATTAAAAATAAGCACATGATCCGTGAATAAACCTTCATATTTATGATAAGTACTGTATGGATTTTTTTAATCTAACATTATTCAGTACAACGGAAAGTTTATTGTTCACTGAATTAAAATGAAAATTTGGGGGAAAGATGGGAACTCATTGTCATTGTGAGATATTGCCAACCACAATTTCAACGATATCCTTTCTTTATTGAGCAGAATACTGGCAAAAGTTCGGGTAGATGCCCTTTAAAACTCTTTCAGTCGTACGGTATCTCACTTTGTTTTGTCCTTATAGCTCAGTCATGGTGTGATTGGGTTAATTAGATGAGTTGCAAGATGGAACCCACCATTTATCATTATATTATAAGATTCTAGAATAAAATCTACAAAAGAGGCATGTACGATTAGAATTTATTCATCTGCCTTGTCATATTCAGGTAGAAAACCGTTAGAGAATCTGAGTACCAACTTAAACGCATTAGTGAGTTACACCGAATTTCCAGCATGTCTTAAACAGCAAAAACATCTTGCATTCTGAATATTTTGAAGGTATGTGTTAAAAAAGATTTCTGTTGATAAGAAAAATATATTTTCCAATGCATCTATTCGTTTCGGACTATGACAATAAGTTGATACAACAGAAAACTGGGGGCTTACTCAAGAGACTGATAAAGCATGATCGATATCTTTTTAGATGGGGAATGTTTGGAATATCCCGTTCGGTTTTTCATAGACACCAGGAACTGTTGATTATTTTGGTTGTGGGTTTTACCCCTTGAGAGATGGTTAATTCCTCACTGTTTGTATGCACTTAACTGCAATGGAAATGTGTGTGATAACCAACAAACAGTGGTTCGAGTCCTGACAGGAGCACACAAATTACGCGCTGCTGACGAATCCCGAACAGAACGAAACGGCTGTCCAGTGCTCTTTGATGCTTATCACAACCATTTCCATCGCACAAAAATGCAGACCATCAGTGGGGAATTACCGATCTCCCAAGGAGTCAAACCCACCCACATCGAACATCATCAACAGTGGCTGGTTCCTGGTGCCTGTGAGAAACCGAATGGGCTAATCCAAACATTTACCATCTAAATTGATTGATCCATTCGCACGAGGTGATAACCATCGACTGTGCAGTGCAAGGGTAAGGGTTTGAAGTCCCTGTCTGAAGAATCGCGGTTCGATTCCTTATAGGGACAAAGAAGTACGCACTGTTGACGAGCCCCAAACGGCATGAAACAGCTGTCCAGTGCTCTTTGTTGCTTATCACAAA